AAAAGTATGTACAAAAGTAATCATAGAATAGCCAGTCTGCCACGAACGATTTTTAGGGTGATGTTATTCCATACAATATAACTAATACAACATAAAACAACATATCTTGGACAAATCATTGAACAGCAATCAGCACCACAAGAGTATTACATAACCTAACCGTGAGTAAAATCTGTCTTTTATGTTATCATACATTTTGTTATTAGTGAGCATAACCAAATTATAAATTGGGCCAGTAATGAATTCTATATAATTAAAATTAATTATTTAATTGCATTCCCAGGTATTCACTCAGCATTACAGTTTTATTGAACAATTTGTATGTATTTGCAACGATTTTCTTGTTAAACTTGGACGAATAGATAGGTTTCCTATTGGCTAACATCTTTGATCAAAAGTATTACAAAATATTCCATGGTTTTAGTTTGTGAATGGTAAGAGCAGTTGACTGTGGCGTTCACCATATTCAGTTTTGCCATCCTACCCAAGTGTAAATCATGCTGTATGATCAGATCAAATTTAAAATACTTGAGTAATTAGATGTTTTTGAGTTTTCCTAAATCCAGAAAATATATTAGTAGACTACATCAGTCAATGTTAAAGTCACGGGCGAATCCGAAAACTCCCCCTCTCAATGCGTGCGTCCTTCCGCTTCTGTATCTCAGACATGCCTAGCACATTCATTTATTTCATATAATTCAAGATGGCCGAATTTCAGCCATTTTAGTGATAACAACTCGTCAGATCGGATTGAAAATGACCGACTGGCGGTCATTTTTTTTTTGAAGAAATGCAGTGTCAGAGTTATATATTTCAATCAAACGTAATGGGTTCTTGATGCACTTAATTTTTTCCAGATTTGATTCAAAATGCTGATTTTTGATCCATATTGCTAACATGGATAGACTGATCATGATCAAATTCCATACATACGTCATTTAACACATTTGCATATGCATAAATGCATAAAATATATCATGGCTACAACATAGAGAGGAATCGCTCAAATAAACTGGCTCAACTTTGTATCATTTCTGTCACATGAGTGTAAATAGTTATTTGGCAGTCACTAAAACCTGGATAGGGACTTGTCATTGACAATATCACCACAGCTTTGATTGTAAAAACATATTGTGTGTGTCGAAAGGCTTAAGAGATAACCGGCTTAAACATAAGTAGTTGATACGTATATGCTAGAGATACCCTTGATGCTTGCCATGTTGAAATATTGTAAGTATAAACGAAAATATAAGCTAGCAACGCTCGTTTTTTTTGCCTACTACTATTGACAGGAAACCCAATTGTACATGTGTCTGAAGTCTTAAGAGACAAACAAGAGGACATATCCTAATGCATTTGTTGTATCCAAAAAATTGAAGATTAATGACATACTTCTATACTGTATTCATGTGTGCATTGCCGCAATAATGCCCGTATGTTACCAGAAAATGCTACCCAAGAACACGCGAGCATTGTTTAAAAATAATACCTTAAACAAGTCGGCGCTTGTTTTTTTATTTTATTCTCCTCCCTAGATAATAATATAATAATATTCTGCAATATGCCGGCTTTGCCGATGTACGCATGCGCCAATTCATCAGATAACGTTAACGGGAAAACTGTGTGGTCGAGGCAAACAAGCGATGAAGACTCGAGTGACTCGTGTGTTTTACGAGACGTGGAATTAATAGCGCACCTCCTTCTGCCATCGCCTTGTATTCTTCGTGTAATCCAGCCCTCCGACATCGCAATCGTGGACGGAATAACGACGTACTTTGGAACACGTTTTTCTGATTTACCTAAACGTGCCATCATACAATTTAAAACAGGGAGAAATAAGGTCAGTGCCCCTTCATCGACATGTTCATTTGGCAGATACTATCCACGTAACAGATGAATGCGATTACAAGTCACTGTGCAGCTCGTCACGATTAATCTGTACTAATTAGTTGCGGTGGCAACCGCGTAATTTACATATTTCGTCGATATAAATAACGTACTCCATTACATATGTGTGTCTCGTTACACACAGACATTGACAACTTAACGCGGGTGGCGTTCAAATGAATGTACGAGGTGTTAACACGTCATAAAATAATTAACCTGTGTGCGACGTGGAGCAGCGGACATTTATGTATGTTCATCTCAGTGCTGAATATCACATATAACGCACATATATATATATTCGTTTTGGTGGAAATCCACGCAGGATGTCGACAATAATATTCCGCCTCTGGCATACATTAAAATTTGACTTTGACCTTATAATCGATCGGCAATAACAGAGACGCAAGTAAAGAACTTACTATTACCTGATTTGTAGACTTCGATAATGCAAAAAGAAGTCGTCAAAAATATACAGTTTACTCTCGAGGTTACTCTCATTAAAAAGCTACATAATATGTGCTGCTGAAGGTACCTTTCCCTCTTTGGGTATAAGTGTCTGAAAATAGGTCCACAATTGTCAAAACTTTAGCCAGGAAATGACTCATATATCAAAAAACTCTTATCAGTATAAAAAACAGTCAAAAAGTGATATCCATTTTCGGGGGTCATGAAAAGATTTTAGCGTATGTTCAGTTTTGTAGCGAACATGTAGATTTGATATTGTAGACATGGATATTGACCTTGCGAGATTACGATTAAGCTATTTTGTTCAATTCTCACTTTATGAAGCAAGACACTGCAATATCTGAGTCATCTTGTTATCCATACAACAAGATATATAGAAGTACATAGGGGTGTGTGTCAGTTACTTGCAATTAGTTTACAAGCAACTGGTTGTGGCATTAAATCAAATTTAATTCAGCAGAATCAATACTGACGCGCTCTCAGTAACGTAGCAACCGGGTCACGACTCGAAACCCGTTTATTGAAATTTACCTTTCATGTCCTTCGGGAGCGTTACACATTTCACATCTCATTGCTTCCCAGCATGCATTTTCTACTTCCGAATAAACCTCAGAAAATCTCTTGGTCACGTGTTTGATAGTCGTGACTACTTGTATCGTCACAGCGGGAAGAGAGATTTGTTTCACTATACATTTTGTGCGCAAATAGGTCAATTATTCTGGCGTTTGATTTAATCAATTAGATGCAAGAGATGACATATTCAAATTACGCAATCAATTATTGTAGACCGAATACAACATGTATGGCGACTATGATTAAACTTTAATATTAATAAATCTAGAAGAACAACTTATTCCTTCTCAATAAGAAGATTACATAACATGTGATGCGTTTTTTGTATGCTATAAAATAATAATCTTATCAACGTTTAGGCAAAATAAAAATAAAGGCCTGGGGCAACATCCCAATTGCTTATGCAATTTTTAAAACAATGCTTTTGGTATCGATTATTCTCATGTAAATTTAACAAATATGCGTGTGGCATAAAAATCGATATAACACTGCCTGTAAGCTACATAAAGCATTCGCGCCGCGTCATGTTCAATATTCGGCGTTCTTTATTTATCAACCACGCGCGTGACGACTGTACCGTTCAAATATGCTAATTATCACACATGGTAAATTGTGTCACGGTAACATAGATCTAAAAGAGCCTACTTAATTATATATTCTTTCGAGAATCGGTGATGATCAGGGCCGGTTGAGATTGCACACCACCGTTACAATACATCCATTTCAAACAAATTTCAAGTCAGATATGAACTTATTAATAGAGTTTAAATTATCTGTGATACAATTTTATACACCTTTCACTAAGACTGGCTTATTTTTTATGACTGCGAATTCTCTTGACATTTTCATTCCTTATTTGGACGTCATACATCCATGAATTCAGATTCCAAGGTCTATCGAGATGATTTGATATAATCCACCCACGACACCAACTAAAACAGTATACGGCGACAAGTACCATTACATCACCTTACGAAAGAATAAGTCAAACAATGTCGTGACTACAGTATATTTAAAGACGGTTAAGCCTAATACACGTGAGCTTATCAGACATGGGTATAATTTACAGTCCAGTCAACCCTAGCTAATAACATGCGACAGGAGTAAGTCATCGTCGTATATTAAACAGAATACTGCCTTGGAATATAGCTGCATTTTGAACTGACTTGGACGAGTCTGATTTTTTAAAAGTGTTCATATCGTAGTCCTCATCATTTAATTTCACGTTTCAGAAGGTAACACAAATGGGACGTGTGATAATAACTAAATCCCAAAGAGGAGAATACACCGTTAATATACTAATACTTGAGTCCATTATTGAGGAACCGCTTATACGTAACGTAAATAAGACGTTCATATATTCGATGACGTGGTTGTCCGTTGAAAACTGATGACGTTTCTAGTGCTTCTGTAAGAGAGTGTGCGACTTATTGGAACGGTGGTGTGTGTCTCACTAAAATTGCACTTTCATTTTGCAATACAAATAGACACGTGAATTAAATGCTAACTGTACCGCGTATTGGTAATAATTAACACGAATCAAAATATATTTGAGTTTGTCAGAAATTCAGTCATAATCTGTAACAATTTAAAAACAAATTTCGAAAATGGAAAGATTTCAAGCAGTATGGTCGAAATACAATAACAATAACGCTGACAGAATATAATGGATTTGATATATCATTATCCAATTAAAACAATCATGGCGCGTGTTCCTCTGTGGTCGGCGTAAAAGTACACAGATGTGGATACGCTACGCTGACGCAAAGGGTTTTAAACTTCTTGGAAGATGAGATCATTATAATGTATGTTATTGTCACATTTAACATGGCTGACAGATTTCAACTTATTGAAAAAAAATGTTGTCAGATTATTGAAGTATATTTGAATGGCACGCAGCTTAGGCTTTTCGAACGATAACACGGCCAATGCAAGCTTACCACACCAGTGTGTTAAGTGTTTTCCGTGAATGTCTGTCTACTTATTTAATTGGTTAAGTTGCCATGGCGTCATTAACTTGTATGTAGTGATGAGTGCGCGAATTAATGTGAGTACCGAGACTGCGTACTTAGTCTTGTTTCCCACATCTGTTCGAACTTAGACAGATAAATTGTATCCGGCGAAATCATCGTTATCAGCGGAATCATCGTTATCATGGGAATCATACTGGGAACTTGTAATATGTCAAAACAACGCATTTGTCAATGACGAATGCCTTGAGCCGACGAGTATTTTATTAATACAGATATCATATATATATATATATATTTATATATTATTAAGTATGGGAACATATCGATTCGATTTAAGAAAATATAACTATAAACCTCATTCTCTGTGCGTTTCGTTAAAATGCGGAAGATCATTCACATCATTTTACACATGTTGATCAAGATGTGAAATTTTGTTTTTTGAAATGATCTAACAAAGCTGTTTATGTAGATTAGATTTGGCTTCATTAAATTCATATTACGAATCTAATTGTGCAAACATACACAATTTGTAGTCCTGCGGCATCGCCCTTTTATGTTGTTAATAATACACAAAACCCTTGTTCTACCAACCACCTTCCAACATACCGATATTGAAGTATGTCATTTAATTTCTATTTCTTTTTAGGAGGAATTCTCTTTGATCGCTTGGTGATGTAGTTTTGGTTTGTTACCATGGTTACGACACGGATTCTGAATAATGTGATAAATGTTCTAACCGTATTATTGTTTCATTTTTTCTTGACGGAAGGTGAGTAATTTACGTGAGGAAACGCTTTCAGAATCGTGACACAATGTACTGATTTGGAATTAATCGGTTTGCGTCGGTCGGACTACTTCAATGTGGTTTACAGTTTGTTTTACGTTCAGTTGATAATTTGTCATCATTCTATTCTCAGCGTGTATTAAAAATATAACAGAACGTTGGTTCAATGTAGGATGAATATCAGTGACGGCTAATACGAATTACTAGTTGGTAGTTAACCTCTCCGTATGTAATAATGTATGAGTAATGCTTACAAATAATATTTTTTAAAGGTTGGGCATTGCTACTCTCAAATTATTTCTGAAATGAATAAAAGCAAAAAACAAACAAAACAACGATGTTATTTATACACCATAAATGATTCCACTAATTTAATTCGAAATCCCGGTACATTAATATAATAGTGAAGAGTCGGACAGGGTTGTACTGGCCGCCTTCGTGATACAAAATGTGTACATGACGATTTATTTAGTTTTGCCATTATTTATGTTGTTTATTTATAGACATCAAATAAAACTGGTGTCATTCTTAGGCGAACATCAAAAGATAGCTATCTAAACATTTGGAAACAGACAAGGAGCGTCGAAGATATTTTAAACCAAATCTCTCGATGTATATGTTAATTTGACAATTACCGTCTATGTGTCAGTGTTGTCGTAACACCTATTTAATTTGATATATTAAGGTTTTAAATTGTCATTGAATGTATGAATACATTTCTCATATAGATGCGCTAACATGTCTTATTCCATGCAAATAACGTTTTTAGGAGGTATCTCGGACTCGTTTTTGAGTTTAATGTTCATTAGAGATTTCAATGTTCACAGCATAATAACAAATAATAAACGCAAAATTGAGTTTCCCCGAAAAATTTATGAAATGGTTCATCTTCTCCTTAAATTCACGACCTTTTCCGCTTACATATTTGTTATTGGTTTTCAAAGAATAATGTTTTATGAGGTAATCGTTGGAAATACATTAAAATAAATTATGTCGTGCGTTGGCCATTTCGCATATGGTCACGTGACCGTATAAGTCAATAACGACGTTTATTACTCTGATGGGTTAAACAGAATATCATTGCGAGCCAATTTAAATTAAAATATTTTGTCCGGTTGTAGTTTAAAGTTCCTGTCTCGTTGAAAAAAATAAATCGTAGAAACCTTCTAAGGGTATCCAATGGTAGATCGTAATATTGCAAATATTTTATTATATTAAAAATAAGGTTCGTTTTACCTGGGTGATACTAAATTTATGAGTGACTCGTTTTGCGGGAAACACTAGAAAGAGATAATTTGTAGCAGGAAGTGACAACCACGTGACACTCAATATTACGCGCTGATTAGTTTTATTGTGACGAGTATCGACGTGCATGCTCGTAGCTGTAAAACTCACCTTATCGAGTCAGTCTAACTTGAAGCAACCAATATACACGCGGATTACCCCAATAGACATGAACATGCAGGAGTAACTTGCCTCATCAGTGAAATGATTGTGGAGAAATGCTCGAAACTATCAACCTATTTTTTCTGCGTGTTTCATTGAACAAGTTTCTAATCAAAAATGTTTACAGTAATTAAAAACTACAAACGTTTCAACTGGAACCCTCGTCTGGCAAGTCACGGAAGGACTCTTTAAGTTGGTGGGTACGTGTGACCTTTTATATGGGTTGGAAATTCCGAAAACGTTCGCGGCTAACCTAGTTATTTTATTGTCAACAATTGGATATCGGACGCCTTTAGAATTACGGAGTCTTCGCAGTCTGTAATTGGTTGCATGCGTAAACTGATTTCAATTTCAATGTAATGATGTTATATCCATGGGGGAGGTTGTGTCTGCTATGGCTAGACATGACTCCTTTTTATTAGATATAATAGATGAAAGTTCAACTTTCGTTTAAATGTACAAATATTTTGTGTATCAACATAAACGTATCAAGGTATAGTACGCACATTAATTTGACTCTATTAACAATGCGACGATCCAGTGGTGAAAAAGTGTCTTCCGTTCGTTTCCTTCATCTAACTTAAAGTTTCAATTGTTTTCTATAGCAGGAAAGCCGACGGCAAGGAATAAATTTCGTTCCAGAGTGCGTCGAACAGGTACATTCAGCAGTGGCGCTGGATTCGTAGGAAGCGGAGGTAAGTTCTAAAACGATTTGGTTTCCCGGGGTTACCCAAATTGCATCGCAACGACGAGATAAAGAGTTTTTCGGTGAATCAATTCAGGATTTTCTGATTCAGCATGTAGTTATCCGTGCATAGTTATGACCTTCACACAGAATTTAATTATTTGTCCACGGAGTGCTGTATTCACGGTTTCCATGGTTACATCGTCGTATCACTCAAGCTTTAAAGAAGGTAATGGTACGCTCTGGCAACCAATGACGATCTGCGGACTGTTCACGCACGTTATCTACTTAAAAAATAGATAGCTTTGTCAACTAAGAAGTCTTTGGTGTTGCCGACAAGTCTAGACGGTGATGCATGATAATATACATCGCAGTGGATACGGTAATCCCCATTAAAATGTAAATTGGCCAAAATGTGCCGGATTATGAGATATTGTAGCTGTCACGCAACTTGTTTTTAACCAGAATAACAACATTTTAGAATTTAATCAGCCGATTTGAACTGATAGAAAACTTCACACTGAACACCCATAGCCCAATGAACACGCAACAAATAAAATCTCTGACCAGTGGATGAAAATAATTACCATGGATTAACAGGTGCTGTTGGTATATCGCCATTTATCGAGTGACAGTAGGTCAAAATATATCGGCAAATATCGAGTGACAGTAGGTCAAACTATATCGCCATATATCGAGTGACAGTGGGCCAAACTATATCGCCATACATCGAGTGACAGTTGGTCAAACTATATCGGCATATATCGAGTGACAGTAGTCAAACTATATCGGCATATATCGAGTGACAG